TCTCTGTAGCTCAGTTGGTTAGAGGTTGACAACTGTCTTCTGTAGCTCAGTTGGTTAGAGCTTGACAACTGTCTCTCTGTAGCTCAGTTGGTTAGAGCACTGCACCGGAATCGCAGGGTCGCGGGTTCGATTCTTGCTAGAGGGCCTATAGTTGCATTTTTCGCAACTGTTCCTGCTTAGGTCTTAATAAATTCACGCTCGAAATTTCCAACTATTGCTTTTAGGCTCGACCAGTGGAATATTCCCCCAAGTTATTATCTCATCAGATTCCCGTCTCGTTCCACAAACATTACGAGATTGATCCATATAAAGTCTACAAGGATTATCTTGGCTAACACAAACCGGTGAGAAGTTCCGACCATAACCGAACGACTGCAAGGGAGACTATTAGCTGGTTTACACTATCAAAGTTTCTGTGATCACAGTAAGAATTTTGCCTAGATAAATTCTAAGTTTTGAAGGATTTGTAAGAAATGTTTTGAGGGAACTGACCATAGAAATAATAGATAGATTCTATGGAACTGACTTAGTATTAACACTTTTATTAACCATCAATCAAATATAGAGGTGTATCTTTTTCTGCTGGACACGGCTGCAGGCGTTTTCTTAGCCAAAGCCCCTAACCAAAACGCCTGCTCTGCAGGCTATATTAACACACGAGTCAGCTTCATCAAACATTTCTTACAAATCCTTCAAAACTTAGAATTTACCTATGCAAAATCCCGACTACGATTACAGAAACTTTGATAGTGTAACCAGACGTAACGTAAACCCTAAAGTACGATGTATATGCCATGTCCAAACGAAGTTTGGCATGACTTTATATTCGCTGCGAGCGTTTGTTAGTTTGTTAGTCTATTTTTTTGGAATCATAAGCCTTGGTATTTATTCAAAAGTAGTATGTCTGCACTAGAGGTGTGCAAATTGAATCCGATCCACTCCGAAAATATTCATTTCTGATTGGATCGGATTGATAAAGTTGTTTCGTAGTTGGTTCGGATCGGACTTCGATATTCGAAATATTTGGTTAAATATTTCTACTTGAATGAGAAATTTATTTTATTAAAGGATTCTTCGGATCGGATCGGAATTCTTCATCAAAACTCGGATCGGATTCGGATTAGACAATTTCGGATCGGATTGGATTTTAAACATTAGCCAATTGTCGGATTATAAATGTCCAATCCGATCCGATGCACACCTCTAGTCTGCACACTTGTGCAGCACCTGTTCTGGTTTTGTTTTGTTATTTATGTACTTAAAAAATCAAAGAAGCTTTCTCGGCTCAAATAATGTATGAGTAAAACGCAAATGTAATCGGCATTGTATTGTTGTTGCCTTGATGACTTGTACAACAGTGACAAGTCGAAATCATTAGTGTTGACCTCTTCTGTAAAATATTGGAACTGCAGTATAAATTGTCTTTTGAAGGCCCTGGAGAAATAATTTATTCCAGGAGGGAAAAGGAGGGCTAATAGAGAGAGTGGTTTATTGGGGAGGGGAGCTTTATAGAGCGGGTGATTGATTGGGGAGAGGGGTTAACAGAGAGGGTGATTCATTGGGGGTGAGGGGGTTAACAGAGAGGGTGATTCATTGGGGAGAGGGGTTAACAGAGAAGGTGATTCATTGGGAAGAGGGGTTAACAGAGAAGGTGATTCATTGGAGAGAGGGGGTTAACAGAGAAGGTGATTTATTGGGGAGAGGGGGCTTAGTAAAGAGAGTGGCCTATTGGGGAGAGGGAGTACGTTTAATAGAGAGGGTGATTTATTGGAGAGAGAGGGGGATTAATAAAGAGGGTGGCCCATTGGAGAGAGGGGGTACGTTTAATAGAGAGGGTGATTCATTGGGGAGAGGGGGTTAATAAAGAGGGTGACTCATTGGAGAGAGGGGCTTAATAGAGAGAGGGGCTTAATAGAGAGGGGGGCTTATTGGAGAAAGGGGTTTTTAATAAAGAGGGTGGCTCATTGGAGAGAGGGAGGTTCATAGAGACGGTGATTCATTGGGGAGAGGGAGAGGTTCATCAAAATCAATTGGAGAGATTCATCAAAATCAATGCACATTGTGTTTCTTTATTGGGAAGGGTGAGGGTTACGTTAGAGTACGTTAGAGGGGTGGGCTTACTAAATTTCTTTCCCCAGGAAGGGGGTATTAGAGATATGGGGGACTTAATTGAGAGGGTCTGGTCTCAGTAGAAAATTGCAGTATTACATATCACACAAAAGTTGTTTGTTTATTTGGCAACACACTTTTCGCCGTTCTCGATTACTTTCCGACAATTTCCGAATACGACACCGATTCTTACGTATGTAATTAGCAGCTTTACATGTAAATTTGTATTGCTGCGTCGCTTTGTTTGATAAAATATTTAATTTATCTTTCAAAAACAATCGTCCAAAACATATTTCTGCTTGAATTTTATAAAACGAACATTTCTACAAGATACTGCGTCTGACAGCGTATAAAGAACGTGTTTTTAGGCTTTTGTACTTCGATTTTTGAAATGCAAGGTTATACGTGACTCGAGTCACTCGACAGACTCGTCGAATGTTCTCGTGTGAAGTTTTTGTATTTTGTTTATCTGTTTGCCACACTAATCTCTACGGAACGCTTGCATACTGTACCTGCAACATTCACAGAAACTATTTAAAGGTAAGATACGTTTTAGTTTTGTGTAAAATATTATATAATACTTGCATTTAAAATTTTAAATATTTGCAAATGTGGGCGCTATCTCGAATGATCTCAAATATGCTTGTTGAATATTATTTGTATTTCTTTTTCTATTTTGTATATGATAACATGGGATCTTGGGATATGGGCTTTTAAAAAAATATTTTGTTGATCGAATATAGATGAATAAGAAAATAAATTCTACATTCTGCTGCCTGTACTGGCCTAGATCTATATTTTACGTGTATTACATAACTTCCTGCCTTTGTCTTGATAACAATTATTACATAACTTCCTATGTTTGTCTTGATAACAATTTCATTATGGGCCAGTTTGTACTACACTCAATTTTGGTACCTGTACCATATTTATCCGTGTTTGGATAACCTATTCACAAAGACTGAGCACGGATCAATTTGTTTGCCAGAGCAAAAATTGGGTGTACTGTACTGTACTGTACTGTGCCCAATCTAACTTTATATATTCTAGATATAAAGGCCTAAAAAAATACCTGTTTGAATTTGCTGGGCAATTTTCAGTAGAGTCCCGACATCAATGTTACACGGCAAAAAATGCTGAGCCTGCTGCTCAACAGGATTGAACAATGTTTTGCTGTCCACGTTGTTCACACTTGTCAACAATATTGAACAATATTGATCATTATTGTTGAGCCTGAATCGGGTGTAACAGCATTGTTCAATATTGTTGACAGCTATGAACAATGTGGGCAGCAAAACATTGTTCAATCCTGTTTTCATCAGTATTGCATCAACCTGAGCGTTTTTTCACGTGTAACTAGAGATGCGTATTTTCTATGAACGAATTTGGTTCAATAATTAGTGTGACATAAGTGGTGACAACAGATGCATTTTGGCATGCTGTATGAGCAGCCTGAAACCACCTGGAGAAAATAGGGTTGCACATAGGGGGGGAGGGGGGTTGAAAAAAATTTTTTTCAGGACATTCAAAAAAAAGGGTTGGAAAAATTTTTCCAGACATAAACCAGTTAAATTAAGGGTCAAAAATTTTTTTCTGCACAAATTCCTATTAAAACATGGGTGAAACCCTTATTTTTGCACCAATATCTGTAAAATTTAGGTCTAGAAATTCTATTCAATTTCTTCTGGAAGCCCTGTAAGTTACTTAATAACTCTACATTCTATCATTTAAAATCTTTGATTGCCCTGCCAATCCAGATAATTCGCCCTGCCAATCCAGATGATTCATACTTCACCCCCCGAACCCCCCCCCCTCAAGTTTCGCCCCTGGTTAGCTTTGCAATTTCCACACCCAATATTCCAAGTTTAGAAATGTAATTGCGAATACTCGCAACGAACTTGGGAATTGCCCTTTGAAACGTGACCTGGAACGACAATAATGGTTTTATCCAAGATGACATTGTATTATATATGTAGTACTTGTTATCTACCATAGTGCAGAATAAAAATATTGATATATTTTTGTGCTTGTTATTAGGGAATTTTACCTGTTACTAAGTTGTGGCCTCAAAGTGCAGCTCGCCATGTCAGAACAAAGCGAAATGACGACAAGCCCTCCAAATGACCAAAATTCTGCTGAAAATGTGACAGATGCCCTGTCACAAAATGAGACGGAAACATCGTCTGAAAACAATATGGCCGCATCGCAAACTAAAAATGACAGCAATAAAGGAAGTCGATATGCAAAAACATTTCAAGCTCTTCAGCAAATGGGCTTGCTTGATTATGCCTTGCAAATGGCCAACTTGAGCAAGGAGAACGAGCAACTGCAGCAGAAAATAAATAAACTTGAAATGGAAGTGAACGAAAGTAGGAAGAAATCAAAACCGGGCCTGGAAGAAAAACTACAACAAGTTTCACAAACTGCAAATACGACGGATGATGTACCGACAACTTAGGTTCATGACGATCATAGATTTCACCTGAATGTCAGGCCTATATTTTGTTAAGAGGCATACTTGCTATATTTTTTTGCCTTATCACCTGCACGCTCTCACCTGCCTGATTCTCCCTTTTAGCATAAGGCGGGGGTAAATATAGGCCTGATAAATACAGGGTTATCATGATATTCAGATTAATCAGAGATAATCAAGATGAAGATGAGAGTTGAATTCGTCAAATTATGAGAACATATATAGATCAGTGGACTGAGGAGTATGATGCATGATGGGAACGATGAAGAAAAGTTTGAGCTATGATCATTCCCATCATGCACCATTGTTTTTTCAATTCTCGTTCGGGGAATGGGTATGAGTCGGTATGAGAGTGCATGTTAGCTGTTCTTAATGCTTTCCCAACAAAAGGGTGCTTTCCTAACAAAAGGGGGGTGCTTTCCTATTGGTCCATTGTACACTATCATGTATTCATCATCAAACCTTTATTTTGTTAATCTAGAGCTTGAAATGTGACTGGGTCACAGGCTCATAACAACATAGTAACAATAAGCTACACACATAAAAATGTACAAGTTGTAACAAACCTCTGTAGCAGACTTGTAGCAATGCTGTTCCAACAACTTACGAACAGGATATGTTCACACTGCTTGTTCCCAGCTTGTTGACAACTTGCTACAAGGTTGTTGAGCTCAACAGACTTGTAACAGGTTGTTCCAACAACTTGCTATCGTCCTGTAATTCAACAATATTTGTCAACAAGTTGTGCGTGACAACCTTGTAGCAACTTGATAAAATAGCAGCATTGTTACAACTTGTTGACAAGTTTGTTACAAGCCTGTTGCGAATACATGGATCTTGTTGACAAGTTGTCGAGATTTTTACGTGTGTAGGGCTGTAGGCCCAATTTTATTTGACCCCTTTTGGTCAATTTCTTCGCAATAAAAAAACGTAAATCTAACCGTCTTACCTGTATATATTTTATTAGCAAAGCATTATTGAGCATTGAAACCTGATATCAGCAGGTTGGATATGAGCATTTGAATTGTTGAACTTCGATGTTGTATTGTTATTAAAGAAAAGAGTGAAGATTTCTAGAATTTAAAGTTTACTGATGCGTGATGCTGTAGTGTTTGTCTGAGGAAGATTTTAACAATATGACTCATTTCCTCTACGTAAATGCAACCACCTTCCTGTTGTATTTTTAATCTATAAACCTATTCGCTTACTCGTGCATGTAAGGTAAACTAACAAAACTATTAAAGGTATATATTCAATTTACTCTAGTATAATTTGATATATTTAAATTTACACAATTTCAATGTCATGCAACAGTTATCATTCAAATTTCCAAATAGAGACCTCTGTCAAACAACAAAGATTTATTTGTACCCAAAATAAAATATTTATATTTTGAATTATATCAGAAAAAAATATTTAAGAAGAGTACCCGCTACCTGTAAGAACGATAATCACATAATGGCTAATAAGATCAGGCAGCAGAAACAAGTCTGAGAACAAGTCTGACTGCGGGGTTTACGAATTTAGAAGTTACTTAAGAAGAAGAAAAAAGCGAACAGTTATCATGGCACAGAGACGATTGGCAATCTTTGACATTAGGACATTCTAGTTTTTATATCTATTCAGATGTACTTATACACAGTGATATAGAACTGAAATGTTAAGGTGACAAGACGTGGGGCTGACAAGACGTTGGGGTGCAAGATGTTAAATATAGAAAGTTCCAGTATTTATTTATAGTTCCAGTATTCTTCAATTAGTGTTTCTTGAAGAAAGGACTTAACTTCAAATAGAAGATTCCGATATACCGAAGCTATTTCATGTTGGAGTCTTGGAGTCACATACATGACCTATTAGGTCAGTAATCAAGTACAGATTACTAACATTACTGCGTCATTTTAACACTACAGTTGCAAAGGAATTTTCAGCATAAGAATACGCAATCTGCAAAAATATTGGGAGTTCAGCCCCCCAAACCGGCATGAAATTTTTAACAAGGGCTGAGCCTCCCCTCTTCTACACCCCTGTTTATAAACATTTACTCCATCCCCTTCACCCGTTGCAATACTGGCGTTTGGCAACCTCGTTCCCAGGGCTTCAGTGTGAGGACGAGGCGAGCGTTTGGCGAACAGACATCGGTTTTTGTGGGGCCAACATTAAACGGAGGGAACAAGACCTTCCCCGATTATGTAAACTTACAATATATATGTCGCATAGTTTGTGGCAAAGATTGTAGGCCTATACTGGATAGCTGTATCAGTTCTAAGCTATGTTCTCCTTGGAGATTCAGTAACGGGATCCCAAAAAGCGAACCAAAGTAAACATGTGCGTGCCAATAAAATAATAGCCTGCGAATAAAATAATAAAACTCCCTTGACTTTTCATGATTACTGTGAAGTTGATCCCAATTTTAATTTTTTTCAAATCTTCAATAGAAAACTTTCTACAGCGGCGATTTTCTTTTGGGTGGGGTAATCGATACGTCTTTTGAATAAAATCATTACGTCGTCACGGTTTATTAATTACGTCATTAATAAACAGAAGTTTATTGCTGACGTCATAATGCTAATTAACCACAATTGTTGCATATTAACAATATTATTATAACAGGAAATTCATACTGCCAAACTTTACTGCGAAGTTTTCGAAGTTTTCGACTTAAAAAGCTTAAAATGCTTCGAAAGTATCAAGCATAAGTCTTTATAAATCAGAATGATGTTCGGATATCGAAAATTCGTTCCGAAATCGTTGGTTTTGCAAGTTAAATGGCTTTTCGGGGATCCATATAAGCTGTCGCGAAGAGCTTTAGCTACGATTGACGACGTACCGGCGAGCTGTCAAACGGTTGATGCACAAGAGAAGCTCAAACAAAATACAGCTATGTTTAACGATACGAAGAGTGCTTATAGAAGTAAAACTACGCGAGAAATTCTACGAGCCCTGCTTGTATTCAGATTATGTTCAGTCAACTTTTTGGTCGATAACAATTTAAAGGTATGTAGCACAGAATAAGGACCTGCTATGTAGCAATTATGTTGTATTTATTATACCATTAGAATTGTGTGGATGTTATAAATATAGTTTTGAAGTGTTAAGGCTGAGATTTGGGTTAAAAATAAACTTTAAAATTGGGGACTAAAGCAAAAAGCTTGCAGTTTTAATTGACTTTTTATTTAAAAATGTACATTTATTGTACTATTAAACAGTGAATGTTTAATAGCTATATTTAGAGCGTCTGAAACGGATAACTGATTATGCTTAAACGTTACAGACATTTGCCCGCATTTTTGACTGACGACAAACAAAATAGCTAAAGTGAAAGCTGGCAGACGGTAGAAACGGCAATTTGGAACAAGCATCTTGCAAATATATTTTACAGACAGCAGACAATTGACTGAGAAGTTTATTATTTTAGCTGACAACTGATATCCAAACAAACCCAATATCGAAACAACCCAATATATATCTTGTTTACTTGCAGTTTGATTGGGTTAAGATGGGTTTGGGGTATTTTTATGCTGTTTTAGGCAATAAAATCTATAATTCACATATAATTGTTTTTTATCCTAACCAAAACTCACCCACCATCCCAGAGCGTTGAGATTCCAGGTTGAATTTGCATGTTGGTTAACCCCAGATTAGGGTTGGGTTAGGTTTATGATTTTATTGCCTAAAACAACATAAAAATAGCCAAAATCTATCTTTATCTCATATGTACCTAGAACCCTCTGTTGTTTACTGCAGTATACTGAAACATGATGCCTTGTTACTCTAAAATATTTGACCTTTGCAATTTGAAGTGGGGTTAGCATTTGTTTGGGTTATTGAGCATATTATCAGAAAATTAAGAGTTTTAAATCTTATTAAGTGCTTAGGAAAAGTACCTTAGAATTCTCCACAATTTAAAAGATGAGTGAATTTTTGTGTACTGGGCTATTGTGTTCCTGCAGTTTGTGAAATTGTTGTGGCTCCAGGTTAAATTTAGGATGTTTATATAAAATGGATGGGTTTCACTTACTATATTGTGCAGCAGGTGGTGTCATTAACCTGTAGTTAACAGATAAACTGATGTTTAGTAAGTGCTAGCTAGTGTTGTGCTTTGAAGAAAATTGCTCTCATGAGTATACTGGTATCAACATTTCGGCAGTTGACCATAAATTTTCTGTACCACCTTGTACCATTTTATGACAATAGAAATGTTTCAACCTAGCACTGCCAATGTTTATATTTTTCAAAGTGCTCATGAGATTTTGGTCAAAACAAGAAAAACGTGTAGGGTTCCGAGGGTAGAAATGTAAATAAAGTAAATAATTAAGCTGTTTTAATTGCTTGTTTTGTCAACATGAAACATTTTGCCTGAGGATGATATTGCATGTCTATAGACTAGTAATTTAACCCATTCATTGCCTACAATATCAGACAATGGTGAACAAATGCAGTTTAATTGGCCTGTAGTATATATAATTGGTGCTTAAAAGCCATTATAGTGACAACTAGCTTGACCCTTTATAATGTGTCCTAATGCACCCTACTTTTCTTTATTCTAATATATACCTGATTATAATTTACTCTGTCTAATGTGCGGCAGACAATTTTACTCGTAGAAGGGAGGGCGCTGGTGGCAAATGGATTATAATCAGATTATCTGACCATGTGTTTAGTTAACCCATTAAGTTATATTGCACCTTTAAATGTGCCCTACTTTATTATTTTACTATATATATATATGTCCAAAGCCAGACTATTTTACTGGTCAAAGTTGAGAGTGCTTAATGGGTTACAAAAATTCCCTGCAATCATTAGCTATATTCTATGAGTTCTTAATTGCTTCCTACTTTATTATTTTACTCTG